TGACCCCTCCCAGGTGGACATGATCGCGGGTTCTCTCGCTGGACCCTTGTGCGCCGGTGGCGGCTTTTGCGCTGGTGCTAAGGATGTTGTCGAGCACCAGCGCCTTACAGCGGCGTCTTACACTTTCTCCGCTGCCCTGCCTGCCATGCTTGCCGTTACGGCCAGCGAGACTCTCAGTGTTCTGCAGTCTAACCCAGACATCCTTGCGCAGTGTCGGGAAAACACCAAAGCTATGAGGGCGCAACTGGACCCCCGCAGCGATTGGGTCGTCTGCACAAGCTCGCCGGAGAACCCCATCATGCTACTCGTGCTCAAGGCTGAGGTCGTTGCGGCGCGCAAGTTGACAAGGGAGGACCAGGAACGCTTGCTGCAGGACTGCGTTGATGAGGTAAGTCAGGCTATCATCGTTGGTATTCCCGAAGTCATTGCTAACTAATTCGTACTTTCAGGCGCTCGCCAATGGGGTTCTCATCACACGATTGAAGAGCATGCCTATTGCCAACAACCTCGATCCCAAGGACAACAGCTGGCAGATCCAACCGGCGCTCAAGGTGTGCATCACCACAGGCTTGCCGAGAAAAGATATTGAGAAGGCCGGTGTCACGATCCGACACGCCATCACCAAGGTTATGACCAGGAAGTCGAGTTCCAAATCATCATAACGTCGTCCACGCCAGGACCTGAATCGCGTTATGACATGTGCAAGACTGAGTGACCTGGGAGGGCGACTATGTCCTCAAGGGCACTGTTCGCTAGATGTGTTCAGTCGAACCATTCAAGATAGATAGAGGTGCCGGGAGGCGGGAGGCGTACATCCTTTTCTGCCTTGTCATTGGATCGAAAAGACACTCGGTGCAATTCAGGCGGTCGAGTACTCGAACACCTCGCAAATTTGCTGGTAATTCATGTGATGAAAGGTAAATACTGATAATTAATAGAACATCAATTGGTAGCCAACGTCACAGCTTCGGATGATGTCCGTCGCCGCAACTTTTGAGACACTCTGCATGCAGCATGGTACAGCCGAGAGATCAGTAGGGCAAGCAAAGGCTGTGCTGGCCATCAAAGGACTGGGGGTGAAGCAAAGCCCGCGCGCCTACTTCCTGTCTACAGACCAGCGCCGGATCCGGCATTGGGGTCCAGCCGTCAGGCCTGGCCATACACTGCGAACCACCAGCAATCTCTAGCGATGCGACCCGAGAGTCTAGTCTCTTGCCGAACCTCTTGCTCCTTTTCTCTTCTTTCACCTATGAAAGCTGAAGAAGTCTAGGTTTCCACAACTTCAGGCCCTCTGGGCGTTCCAGACTACCGTCAGACCTCGATGAGACACGTGCTGCCATCAGCGTCCTGCCCTCATCCGACTGCATCGATGGGCCGTGAGGTGTGAACCATGTCTTATTTTCCGTGGCGTTCCTCGACCAAATTTGAAGCTTGCATTTGGCAGACACGTCCTTGACGGCCCGGTACCTTACCCTGCGTTTGGGCCGGGAGACCTTCTGGATTTCTTTTTGAACTAAAGCTCGCCTTGGCTTCTTTGACGCCGCTTTGAGTCGATGGGCTTCAGTATTGGGTTGAGAGAAGGATTCGTCCATTGTGGGCTTGTGTCTCTGCTTCCTCTTTGGGACGGAAAGTGGGAGGCAATCTCATCTAGACTTTGACTATAGGAATCCACTGGTTTGCTTCGTTGGGTATAAACACCTTCGGCCTTGTTCGTCCTTGCCATATCTCAGTCACCCGATCTCATCACGCACTCCTTCGATCATTTGAGAAGACCGGGCCGATCATTACCTATCATTAGCTGTCTTTTGCGTCCCAAGCAGACCACCACTCCTTTGCAAAAGCATCCATGCCGAAATAAGAAGGCTTCGACTGATTCCGCAACGCTGCCTTGCCTCACTGTGAGTCTATCAACAGGCCTCTTCTTCGAACCCCAAGGCTTCATTTTGACAGGAGATCGAGAATTCCAGCGCAAAATGCTGACCGACGTTGCAAGATAAGGATTACCAAGGTTGGACTTCTTGACCACTATTGCTCTAGGCACCGGTTCCAATATAACAAGTCGGTCCGTTTGGTGGTATTACTACAGCCCTGAGATGCAATCTAAGTCAACCATCAATTGGAACTGAGTACAAGACGGTGCCCAATATTCGGTGAACCAACATTTACGACAACGACAATAGCCCAAGCCAGGCGAACCTGGTCCAGGAGGTGAGTTATGAGATTGTTGCTGTTATCTTTTTGATATGGATTAGTTCTTGCAGGAACTCTCCGGGGGCCGGGTGGTGTTTTCTTTCGCCCCTTGTTGCACATTGAGACCAACATTCCTGCCCAGTGCTGACTCCTCCCTCCCCTCCTTTCCTCCCTCGGCCCACCACCTAACCACAGCTCTACATGGTTTCATTCTATCCCGTTCCTGCTTCTCTTGGTATTTTGGTCAATGCCACAGTAGAAGGCGAGGCTCCCGCTGCTTGTTCTCTTTCGATTGGTTGGTCAATTTAGTCAGAGAGAGTCAGGTGTCATAGACGCAGCAACGGCTACAAGGACACACACTACTTGACTGTGCCATACCCCCCTCTCGGCCCCATCATGTTTTCTCTCCATCTTCTGATTTTCGTCCTTCGTCCTTCGTCCTGAATCGTTGCCTATTGCCATTGGCCTCGTGGAACTCTGAAGCTGTCTTGACAGCGATCCGCTCCTTTCTGTTGATGTTTTTGCTTACTTTCTAGTCACTCATTGCAACCTACCATTCTTTACCCTCTTTTGGCTTGATAGCTCACAATTTTCCCGTCGTAACAGATTTCAGCCTCGCGCAAGGGTCTCCGCCAACATCTGCTCGGGTGTTCTAATCTCACCTATCTTTAACCTAGAATCACTACCCGCACTCCGTCAGATCCTTGAAAGGATGAAACCAGCCGGTCTCTCTTCAGCGCTGGTCCTCATACTGGTTGAGTTCTCTGCCGCTCGTCCCCAAGGTAAAATAGCGCCCAGCCTATCTGTTAATGCCGAGCATATGATCCTGATATGTGAACATAGGCACTAGAGATGTCAAGGGTTCGATTGCTCAGCCTCAACATACCATCGTCACCGACTCGACCTTGACAGAGCCCATCGAGGCCCCCCAAGTCGTTGTTTACGTCGACGAAAAGGGTGCACCTTTGGAGACAGCTACTGAGACAGTCCGCTTCGTGCCAGCCTCTCGATCAATCATCCATCCCTCCGAGCCTTTGGAGTCGGGAACCCGCTCTGGAGATGTCGTTTCTCGGACCACCTTTTCATCCTCTAATGACGCCCCGGGTTCCCCTCTGGCAACCTCGAGCACTTCAGCTGTCGCTACTTCATCGTCACCTTCTTCATCATTTCCTTCGGCTTATTCTACTCCAAACACCACTCTCCCTGGCATCGCGTATGCACCCTACACGGCGACGGGACAATGCAAAACAGCTGAGCAGATGGATGTCGACTTCGCCAAGCTTGGGGGAAAATACTCGGTGGTCCGCACCTACGGCACTGACTGCGACCAGATCGCCAATGCTCTTCCCGCAGCCAAAAAGGCCGGTGTGAAACTCTTTTTGGGTATTTTCGACATCAGCTCAATCCCTACCCAGGTTGCAATCATTGTCTCAGCCGTCAGCAACAACTGGTCCCTGATTGAAACTGTCAGTGTCGGTAACGAGTTGGTCAACAACGGCAAGGCTACAGCGCAGCAAATGGTCACCGCCGTGGGCCAGACGCGCCAACTTCTCCGCGCTGCCGGCTACACCGGTCCAGTTGTCACGGTTGACACCTTCGTAGCGGTCCTTGCCTACCCCGAGCTGTGCGACGCATCAGATTACTGCGCAATGAACATCCACCCATTTTTTGACAGTAACACGGCGGCAAAGGATGCAGGTTCCTTCATCACCCGGATGGTCGGCGAGGTTCAGTCCAAGCTTTCGAACCGAAACAAGCGCATAGTCTGCACGGAGACAGGGTGGCCGTGGAAGGGGAACGCCAATGGCGCTGCCATACCCGGAATTGAAGAGCAGCAGCTGGCTGTCGACTCGATCAAGAAGGCGTATGCGAGCCATACGGCCGATGTCATTCTCTTCTCGGCCTTTAACGATCTTTGGAAACACGCCGAGGCAGCAACTTTCAATGCTGAGCAGTACTGGGGCATCGGAGCTCTGTACTCGGATTCTGACAGATGAGCAATAGGGACGAAAACAAATGCAACGGGTCAATGTTTCGTATGTATCGAGATTCGGCGGGCCATGGACAAGGTAGTTTCACGATGTCTGGTTGAGATGGTGATATTCAATAAATTCATTCTTACCTATCCTCTACAAATTCTTATGCGCTGCTTCTGTAGTTGAGTGCGTGGCGACCAGGGTGCGTCCATAAACTATGAGTTTCAACCCGCCAAGTATTCTTCCTCGTCATTTTGTAGCGTCTTTGAGACTCAGTTATCTAGACTATAGGTGGAGAGAATGATACGTACTGGGGGTCTTGGAAGGAGGATTTTCCACCGAAGTTTGGCCATAGCCATTGCCCTCTTGATCTCCTGGCCACGAACCCAGGTTGTGTCTGTCATGATAAATCCGACATGCCTTCGAAATTTCTCTCCCCGGCCCCTCGAGCAAAGCCGACTGATTCCATGCCTCGTGCTGTGCTTGACGCTTACGAATAGGCCAATCAAAGTCGGTCTAGTTGGTGTGACACAACATCGCTCATCTAACCCGTAACGGGCAAGGAAAACTACAATTGCAGGCTCTCCAAACTGCAACCATACATAAGAAACAATTTACTTTCAATGCATGTTTCTGTTCTACGGTACTATTGAAGATTCGCGTGAGATTATATGACGGCAAGTTCCATCAACCTTTGTATGCATCGTCTTCCACGAGAACTTTCCATCCATACTTCCTCTCCGAGGTCCTCCAGCAGCTATTGCTATCTTTACAGACGATGACATCCCGGCTGAAGGCTTGCAAGATCTGGCACTTCATGTCGGGAACCGCCGACTAGTTGTCGTTGCACATGGGGACGAGGTACTCGGCGCCGTCAGCATTGCTCTCTTTTGCAGGACTGCGCCACAAAAGAGCTCTACCACTATGTAGCAGTTGCAATGATAGCAGCTAACTTGACTGCAAGCGACCATCCAAGCTGAGGCCGTTAGCTTGCCACTGACAGTCCTCTCATGGCTAATGCCACCCAGATGGCTAAAATTCCCACAGTGCTCCAAGCGACGTCGGAGATGCACTTTGTCGTTGAAGTATGTGTGATTCGCTGGGATAGTACCAAGCTCGGTAACAGAAAGCGCGTTGAGGTTCACTCCGGAGTAGTTGGCGGGGTTGGGATTGATCCTGACGAACTTTCTAGGGACACCCTTAATAATGTGTCAGTCAGAGTGATATCTGGGCTTCAGGAGAGGTCTCTACTTTCAATCCTGGGATGGCTACCTTGTAGCCGGTAATGGGGGTCTCAGAAACCTCGAAGATAGGCGGGGCGGCAGCGGCGGCCTTGTTGTATCCATGTCAGTCAATTCCAATTGAGCCTGCATAAACATCTTCAACTGTTTTCAGTGTTTCCGAATGGGTGTTTCAAGTACTTGCGGCTTTAGTCTTTGTAAGTATTTATCTCAAACTATGCCTACTTTTCGCTATAGCCTGGCATCGTTTGCTCTGATTGTGCCACCAAGAAAGGCATCATTCCTTGAAGGATGAAGTCCGCTTATCCGCATGAGCAATTGTTCTGTCACTTATGGGTTGAATAGCGGTTTTCACAGGCCTACGCCCTTGGGCTCCTGGGAAGTCGTCAAAATGAGACATGTGACCAGTCACGTGGACGATGCTTGAATGTTTAGGTTTCTGACAGTTGTACCCGGGCCTCAGTTTGTAATAGTCGGAGATAAGGTCGCTTAGTACGGATACATACAACAATACTCCAATAAAACCCGACTCTCCTGTCGCCTGCGTACGATCCATTGTGAAATCCTTGATACAACTCAATTCGCCAACTTTCTGGGCAAGAGTGGGCAGCTTCTATGACCTAATTATAAATGGATATGGTGAGCCCGACGGGCACTGTTCCTCGCATGATTTATGGCATCAATAGTGTGTGGCAGTGACAGCGGCCTCCGATCACACAAGCCACTATCAAGATGATCGTCTTCAGTATGTATATTACCTGAGCCAAGGAACAGGTCGATAGGGGCTTTGCTGCAGATCCCTAGAATCCTCTCTTTATCTCTATCTCTCTAGTTTATCCTATTTTGTTTTTGAGTGAGAGAGAAGGAGGGGGCGGGGGGTCAGAGAACACCCAAAACGAAAAAAGACATTCCCGCCTTGTAATAACATTAGAAGTTCGACTTGTCTCGGCTCTCCACACCGCAACGCCTGCCTATGAATGTACTGCGTACGCTATGCCTAGCCCACTCTCAATTCCAGGCAAGATTGTTCTCGATGAGCGGCATTGTAGTGAGGGAGTGTACACTACTTGGGCTGATAGAAGCAGTGGGAGGAACCCTGCCGGTTTGCTTGCTTACCTTAGACATCCAGACATGCAACATGCGGTAAGCTACAGCGGACCACCATGCAGGAGCGCTCTTTCCTCATCCTACCTTTTTTTTTCCCTTCCCCGGCGCACTTTCTTCACTCTTGAAAGCCGACGACTGCTTCCCACTCTCGCTCGTTCAATTGAGGACAAGGGATTATCTTAACCATTTCTCGCGCCTCGGTCGCAACTCGGGCTGTCGCAACCCCAATGGCTACCGCCGTCGACGTTCCTGCGGCCACCGCAGGATTGGCACCACGTCGAATCCCTACAAAGACGAGGGAATACCCGCTCATGTCACGCCGCCAAATCGAAGGCTTGATTGCTCAGGGCAAAGTCGTTACAATTGTTGATCAATTCGTACTCAAGCTGGATGGGTGGTTACCGTACCATCCTGGAGGCGATAAGGCCATCCAGCACATGGTCGGTCGGGATGCCACCGACGAAGTTACAGTGTATGCGTCTTCACGCGTTTTTGACCTGCACTCTTCTCCTCAACGCCAACGGCTGACCTGGAATTCAACACTGCAGACTTCACTCCCCGGAGGCCAAAGCACAGATGATGAGGTATCGAATTGGAAGGATCGAGGGACACTGGAGGAACTTTATGCCGCCTATCCAGGGAGGCAAGTTCAGGAATCTCGACGAGGGCGGCCCCGATATGAGTGCCACTGAAGTCAAAAGCAACCTGCGTTTCTTTGGGACCTCCTCCCCCAGCGATATTAGTTCTCGCGAAGCTTCCCCCGTCTTCGATACCACAAATACCTGTGTCCGCCGTAGACACGGTGCGGCTTCTGTCTCTTCGGCCACCTCGGCAACCAACGATGAAGACGACGACGACAAGGAAATGGACGGGACCGCGTTCCTCGACTCTGAGACACGCAAGCGTATCCACCTTGACCTCGATAAATACCCTGCCCTGGATGACGAGACGCAGTCGGAGATTGTGCGTAAGTACAGGCTCCTCGACGAGCGTATCAAGGCGGAAGGGCTGTACAATTGCAATTACCATGCCTACGCCATCGAGGTGATGCGTTTTGCGCTCCTCTTTGCTGGTATGCTGACTTTCTTGCGTTGGGGGTGGTATTTTCCTAGTGCCGCCTGTCTAGGCTGCTTCTGGCACCAGCTTGTCTTCTCTGCTCACGATGCTGGTCATATGGGCATCACCCACAATTTCCACCTAGACACATGCATCGGAATTTTCATCGCTGACTTCATGGGCGGCCTGTCCATCGGTTGGTGGAAGCGAAATCACAACGTGCATCACATCGTCACCAACTCCCCGGAGCACGACCCGGATATCGAGCATTTGCCTTTCTTTGCTGTGTCTCACCGTTTTCTTGGGAACTTGGTGTCGTCCTATTACGAGCGCGTAATGGTGTATGACTTCGCGGCCAAGCTCTTCCTGTCAGTGCAGTCATATCTGTACTACCCTATCATGCTATTCGGCCGCTTCAACCTTTATAGGCTCTCGTGGGACCACCTTATAATGGGTCGCGGCCCCAGGAAGGGCATCGCCTGGTGGCACCGCTGGCTTGAACTAGCCGGTCAGGCCTTCTTCTGGGCCTGGTTTGGCTATGGCATTGTGTACAAGTCTATCCCCTCCAACTGGGACCGCTTCGTCTTTGTAATCGTCAGCCACATGTTTCAAGCGCCGTTACACGTCCAGATCACGCTATCTCACTTCGCCATGAGCACAGCCGACCTGGGCCCCCACGAGTCGTTCCCACAAAAGATGTTACGCACTACTATGGACATTGACTGCCCTTCCTGGCTTGACTTCTTCCACGGAGGATTGCAATTCCAGGTTGTGCACCACTTATACCCGCGTATCCCACGGCACAACCTGCGTGAGACGCAGAGGCTTGTACAAGAGTTTTGCAATGACGTGGGTATCCCCTACGCCCTGTATGGCTTCATCGACGGCAACAAGGATGTTATCGGTCGGCTCGCGGAGGTCTCTCGACAGGCGGCCATCTTGGCGAAATGCCAAAAGGTTGCTGCCAATCAAATCCACGGCGGCCACCATCACTAACGCCATCTGATCTGTCAAACTCTTGTATTCTTGTCGCGGTCCTCGCTCTTGTTGTCTGGCTGTGAACAACTCGGGGACGTGGAACAGAGCTCCGTCATAACCAGTGCAGAGAGAAGAAAGAGGCATATGGGATATGTGCATCCAATGTCTCGAAGCCTGTGGGATTCGAACTAAAATAGTATGTAATGTCTAGAACTCAAGTCAAGTTTTTTTTTTCTCCATGTACAGTTGTGTATGCATGTGGTTGTATGAGTCAAGTTGAGTGAGAAATTGAGAGCACAATTTTCCGTTCCTTACAGTGACCTCATTGAATAGTGTGTGTTACCACTTCCGATGATGTTAGATTTGCGTCTTATTTTCGGGCTACGGCAGAATAGTCTCTTATAAATGGGCTATGTCATTTAAACACTTGTCGGCATTCTCGCCTCGTTCCGAGAATCTAAATCGGGAACAACACGCTCTGCGAACACCTCTTTCCAAAGCATCTTAGGATTCTCATAGCTTTGAGCTATGGGAAGTAGGGAAATGGGCTCGGATTCGCAAGACCTAAAGTGATAAATCAAGTGCTCGGGATGGCCGGTGTGCGGGCAATGGGCACCCACAAGAATGACCAACCTGGACATGAGCAGGACGAATTCGCCATAGACGCCCATGCGAACAGAAACGAGCAGCCATCAAACAGCGAACAGTAAGGGGCCAGTCCAAATGTGAAAACAAACACGAGAGTGAGAAGGAGAATTGAGGGGCGTTTTGTATTACCTTTTAAAAGGAAGAGCGGGGTGCAGATACATAATCATAGGCCGCTGACTAGAACAACTTTGGAATTCTGCCTACGACATGACAGATCCGGACATTCTCGGAAGGCGTGGACGACGGAACCATAACTTTGGAAGTGTCGGAGAAGGAGGGATGAGTTCTAGAAAAAGGGACATAATCTGCGCAGGTCAGAAAACACTGGAGTTTTGGGGGCGGAGCCTTTCAACACGAGTAGCTGGCATCAGCGCTGTATTCTACACCATGCCTTTAGAAAACCAGGATCCGCTAGATGGGATGTTTGCCATTGGCTCGTACTGCGATCTGTATCCAACTTGTCATCTCTTCTTTCGGGGGGGTGGGGGCGGGGACAAGCCACCAGTCCTCTTCTTGCTGATGCGAAGTGGTCAGACAAAGCAGGATGAGAGAATGCTGGAAGGAAAAGAGAGATGGACGTTTGCGACCGAGTTCAACAAGTGGTTGCCAAAGATCGAAGGGGCAAGTCAAGAATAAGTGTCGATTTCGGTCGTACTGTAGAGTCTGGATGTGACGAACAGCGATGTTGGGTTGAAAGTGTGTTTATAGAATTGGTAGTCATTTGGCAGGAACGCGTTACATTCATTGTATGCCAGCAACGTTGATAGGAGATGGAGTAATGTTAGCTGGCTCCAGACCTCCGGTTGCATCTACCATCCCAGATGCCAATAAGATGAAACTTTTGGCGGAAACTGGTCAATGGCAGCTGTCCTTTCCTTTACTGTCGTGCCCTGGAGGTGAAGGTGAGGAGAGGGAAGAGAAAAACAAAGATACGTACCTACATAGGTAGGTTCGGGTAGGTTAAGTAGGTAATACTCTGTAGAACATGTATGTACTCTGTACCGCCCTCACACCCCTGCTTCCTGCTGGTGGATGCCATGTCCTATTGGACCTCTTGTCTCCCACTGTGACGCCGCACACCATCTGCATCTGCCGACTGGTGTTTCGTTTGTCCTGCGACTCTACCTAATCCCACCTCTTTCGACATCCCAAGCCTGAAATAGTTGCTTGACGTGTCTCTCTCCCTCCCTCTCTCTCTGCCTGCTCTATCCGCCATCCGTGCTCGTGCTCGTGCCCGCGCCCTGGCCGCAGCCTCATCCCGTCAACGCGCACGCAGCCCATCATCACCTCCTGCCTCAACCACTTTGGCTTTGGGGCTCTTGTCCCCTCCGTCTCCTGGCATCCGCCTAATTCCCCACTAGAGAGACTACGTACCGTTACGTACTGGGACCCCGGAGTGAACCCAGCTCAACACCGCTCAATTTTGGAACTCGTCTCAACTCAGTCAGTTCTGCTCCAGCCTCGCATCACGACGTACCAGGAGATGACCTCGTTGTTGCTGTCTCGACCTCGGCATCAACCATGGACGTCAGTATTCAGAGAGCTCTCAACGACAAGCTCTACGACAAGCGCAAGGTCGGCGCTCTCGAGTACGTCTCTCTCCAAACCCCCTTTCTGACTTACCAATACTACCATGACTGCCACCTTTCATCTTGATTGGATTTCATTAATTCTGGTCTGACTTTACCATATACTGACCCCTTGACCCTCGTAGGCTGGAACGAGTCATCCGAGAACTCGTCGTAACGAAGGATTACCCCAGAGTCCAGGCCATCCTCGAGCAGCTTTGCAATGAGTTTGCCTACGCCGTCCATCAACCCCATGCCAGAAACGGAGGTTTGATAGGGCTGGCTGCAGCTGCCATTGCTCTTGGTCATGTACGTGTGCCCCTCTTCTCATTCTCCTCTGATCAACCGGCGCCGGTCGATATGTTTTCCCTTGTCTCTCTGCTGGCCGCCTTTCGGGTACCCATCTTATCGTTTCTATTTTCATTTTCTTTCTTAGGCCCGCGTCAATGCGGCTGACGCTTCTCCCAGGAGTTGCCCCGTTATCTCGAGAAGATCGTGCCCCCAGTTCTCGCATGCTTCACCGATCAAGATGCCAGAGTCAGATACTACGCATGCGAAGCCATGTACAATATTGCCAAGGTCGCCAAGGGAGAGATATTGATCTACTTCAACGATATCTTTGACGCTCTCTGTAAGGTAAACCGCCCCCACTCCCGCCACTCACTTTGCACCTCACGCACATCCTTGACTGACCTTGACGCCTTAGCTGGGGGCAGACTCCGAGTTATCCGTTAAAAACGGTGCCGAGCTACTCGATCGCCTCATCAAAGATATTGTCTCTGAATCAGCTGCTTCATACGTTTCTGTTCTTGAGGGAGAATTGGGTCAAGATATACCCGACAAGGATGAGCTCCAAGAGCGCCCGCCTCCTCCCACCGCCTTCTCCTTGCGCCGCTTCATTCCACTCCTTCAGGAGCGCATCTGGGTTATCAATCCCTTCACCCGCCAATTTCTGGTTGGCTGGATCACATTGCTTGATTCCATTCCCGACCTGGAACTGGTCACTTTTCTTCCCGACTTCCTGGCAGGCTTGCTCAGGTTTCTGAGCGACCCAAATAGAGATGTACATGTGGCAACGAGGGCTTGCCTCGACAAGTTTCTCAGCGAGATCAAGAGAATATCTAGGATCAAGAAAGGCATTGCCGAGAGCAAAAAGTCGCGCGAAGGTGGCAAACGCAAGCGCGAGGAATCGGTCGATTCAGATAGTGTTCAGATCGGCCCCGAAGAAGGTGATGAGATTGACTCTCAAACAGACGATAGCGAGAGCAGTGGCGAGGAAGACTGGATACCCGGCCAAGACGTTCAGATCAACTACCGAAAGATCCTCGAGATACTGACCGCTACTCTTGATTCTCCGCTTGGTGAGTTACCACTAAAGAACTGAAAATTATATTCTGTACGTGTGTGGACACAGCTGAGTAACATTCTAGAAGAAGATTCTCTCTTAGAGTCTCTACGATGGATCGTTGAGTTCTTGGATATCTGCCCAGAAGAAGTGCTGCCGTTTACTCCAAAGGTTTTGGCCCACATGCTGCCTGCTATGGCCAGCGGCGTCGAATCCATCCGCCAAGCTGCTGCTCGTGTCAATGCTGGTCTGATGGACTATGTGGTCTCCCTATCTGACGAGCCTGAAATCGGCGGCCATTCTCACTCAACGTCACGCCTTCCAGTTTCTGGCGAAAAACAAGAGGGTCCCTCTAGTGCGCGGGCTTCTCTATCTAGTTCGCGAGACCTCGAACTGAGGAGCCCAACCCCGGCCCAAGGCCACAACCGCTCCCTCTCAACTCCGAACCCACCGTATGCAAGTAACCATCCTCAGGTGGATCTGGACTACGCTGCAGCAGTGAACGCCTTGACACTTCTATTTCTCAACGATCACGAGGCGACCCGTGTTGCTGCCTTGACGTGGTTGATCATGCTCCACAGAAAGGCCCCTAGAAAAGTGCTCGCGTTTAACGACGGAACTTTCCCTGCCCTGCTTAAGACGCTCTCTGATCCAGCCGAAGCCGTTGTTACCAAGGATCTGCAACTTCTCTCGCAGATTTCTCGGAATAGCGAAGACGACTACTTCTCCAATTTCATGGTGAACCTACTGCAGCTGTTTGCTACTGACAGAAAATTGCTCGAGACACGAGGGAACCTAATCATCCGCCAGCTTTGTGTCAGCCTAAGCGCGGAGCGGATCTATCGTACACTCGCAGATTGCATAGAGAAGGAGGAAGACGTTGAGTTTGCTAGCATCATGGTACAGAACCTGAACAACAATCTCATCACGGCCCCAGAGCTTTCGGAACTTCGAAAGAGACTTCGCAATCTCGAGTCAAAAGTAAATGAGTTGGCTCTTTCTCTAATTTGCCAGCTGCTGACGACATTTGTCTAGGATGGCCAAACATTCTTCGTTGCTCTTTTCCGTTCGTGGTGCCACAATGCCGTCGCTACGTTTTCCCTTTGCCTGCTGGCACAAGCTTACGAACAGGCTTACAATCTCCTGCAGATTTTGTGAGTTCTCGAAATCCAACTTATATTCTGCATTGGGCTAAACAGACGACGATAGTGCTGAGCTCGAGATGACGGTGAACATTCTCATCCAGATCGATAAGCTGGTTCAGTTGATAGAGTCTCCTGTGTTCACTTGTAAGTTTATCATGGTCCATCGTAGCTGGCTCGTGAGCTGACATGCTCAAGACCTCCGACTGCAGTTACTGGAGCCGGAGAAGTTTCCTCATTTGTACAAGTGTCTATACGGTCTCTTGATGCTTCTCCCCCAATCCTCAGCCTTTGCGGCCCTCAAGAACCGCCTTAACGCTGTCAGTTCCATTGGCTATCTTCATATTGCTCCCAAAGTGTAAGTGCCACCCACGACAACCCCTCGGACCATAGTTGCTTGACTCTGTGTATCATTTGTAACAAAAGCCTGACAACACTTTACAGTAGCCCCCCATCTGCCACCAGTTCAACCTACGACAGGCCGAACAGACTCAAGAGTCGGGAAGACAGTATTATTCGATGGAATGAGTTGCTGGAGAAATTTCGGACCGTGCAGGAAAGGGCCCGACGAGCCCAGAGGCACTCTGGTGATCTCGATGATGGCCGAAGCAGCCTTGGAGTCGCGGATCTGCGCCTTGGGGAAGGCCTTGACATGAAAGGCCCCAAAGAGGCACGTAATCCGAGCGGGCCGCCAGTCCCTACCAAGGACCCCCCTCCGCCAGTTGCACCGCCGACAGCCAAGAGGTCGGGTCTCGGGATGAGGCAGATCAGGAACCTGGGGGGCGCGGTCAGGGGAAAGCGGCCCGGTTGATGCTCTACAGCAGAAGGCTCAGTGTCTTTAACGAAAAATTGTTCTAATACCCCTCGGCATAGGTAGATGGAAATCAGCCCGTGTCTATATTGTAGACCGTATCACAGTAGGAAAGTTATAATTAACGGCCCTTGCGAGGGCTTTCACGCTCAACAAGACTCTCAAAGATGGCGTCGCGGTGGCGTGTAATGGCGAGAACATCTGCGCGGAGATGCTCGAGTTCGGCCCTGGCCGTCTTCACATCATCGGGGAGGCCGGAGAATTGATCGACATCTTCATCCAAGCTCTTCTTTTCAGCCAGGAGGCCGAGGTAACAGGCTTCTTCCTGCGCCATTTGCTCGATCGTGGGATGAGAAGCAACGGTATAGTGGTTGAGGTTAGAAATGCGGTCCCTGAGCTCGGGGATACGCGCTGCCATGGCTTTGATCCTCCTTTGCATCTCCAGATTCTGGCGGGCCAGGTCGTTGGCAGGCTTGTAATCGTCGCTGTGCAGGGTCCGTAATAGCTCATCGACTGCGGCCGACTCCTGATCAATGTATTTCTGAAGAATATGTACGCGGACTCTCGTCTGTTCCACGTCCGAAGCTTCAGCGTGCAGACCAATCATAGAACGGCCGAGAGCTTCAGCATCTGGATAGGCGACGGTGAGCTGACACGATAACGTGGCCATGGAGTTAAGGGCGGTGCGTCCTTCCCGTGTAAGGTGATCTTGAACGGCACCAAGTATCCTTTCCCGGGCGGCATCGGAAGCCGGCAGTTCTGAATTGATTTCGGGCAGGTCCTGCGTGGCGGCAAGGTCATGAATGGCGCCAATCTCGGCCGAGGCGACTAGCTCGCGCTCCTCGTCGGCGTTCTCGTTTGAGTTGGCAAGTGCGAGAAGGGCTTTCAGCGTCTCGGAATTGCGTTCGAAGGAAGGGACTGGGCGGCCCTGGTACTTCGAAGCGAGCCAGCTGTCAACGTAACTCCAATCTTTGGCGGTGGAGGCGGCGATGCGAGCTATTGATGGAGAGAATATAGCGGTTGATGGCGGGAGGTGAGCCATGTTGGGTCGCGGTGACAGTCGTATTTTCTCTCTCATAGAGAACTGTGCGATTATTATTTTTTTGATTATTATTTTTGGTGGCTGTTTTGTTGCAATTCATGTACACATATAAGCCGGCTCTTGGGGTTTCCCTTCTATATCGATTCGTGCCTCTTTGTGACCGCAGACAGAACAAGTAGACTACCTAAGTATGTTGTCACAATCAGCGATGTTGGCTCGCCCACAATTTTGTGGTTCTGGGGCCGATGAAAGCTCAGTGGGCGATGAATGGTCAAACGAAGGGGGTGGTGGGGTACCTACGTGCTTCCATGCGGATGACATTCAGCGGGAGATGCCAGCCATCCCCTGCAGAGACGCGAAGTGGGACCAGTCTGGGTGCGTCTTGGTTCTGGACACCTCAGCGCGTCGTATTCAATGACGGAATAAGTTTGCGACTCTACAATAAGTAGGTACTCTCTATTAGAGTAGGGGGGTCTCCAATCTGCGAGGTAAGCACATGGAGCGGGAGGTTTGGCCATCGTGTTCAGTTCTGGTACGTACTAGAATGAATGAAAGAAGCCATTTAAGGCTACCTACCAATATATAGCACTTGGAGTCTGTACAATAACGACAGGGGCCTTGCCACCGTAAGCTAGTTAAGGACTACATACTCCACACGCCTTTTGCACACCTGTCCAGTTGTATCTTTGATCCCATCACAGCCTGGCTTCATTTGAGGACAACTTTTCCAATTGCCCTCTTATTCTCCCTCCATTTATTCCTCCTCGCTCTACTGGGTTCTGACTTTATGGTTTCCTCCTCAACCTTTCCATCTTTCCCCTGTTATTCTTACTGTCCATTAGCCTACAGACCTTCGTTTACTCACCTGGCGCCAGCAATGTACGTCCGCCTTTGTGCCCTGGCTTTCGCAGCCAGCCTGCTCTCGTCGCCAGTCCTTGCGATCACCACCGATGAGATCCCCTCCGATACCCCTGTGTCCTCTCTTCTGGCCACCGCTCAATCCCATCTTTCCAAGGGTCAGACGTCCGATGCTCTCGTATACTACGATGCCGCTGTTGCCCGCGATCCCTCCAACTATTTGACGCTGTTCAAGCGCGCGACGACACATCTCTCCCTCGGCCGCACCAACCAAGCCACCGACGATTTTAATAAAGTACTCTCGCTCAAGCCCGGCTTTGAGGGAGCGCATGTGCAGCTGGCCAAGATCAAGTCTAAGACCGCAGACTGGGATGGCGCAAGAGAACAGTACATCCTCGCCAGGAAGGACCCCACCTCGCCTGAACTCGTCGCTCTCGATGAGGCCCAGGGTGCTGCCCGTCTCGCTGAGATGGCCGAGAAGAGTGGTGACTGGGAGGCCTGCGTGGGGCATGCTGGTGAAGCCATTATGACCGCCAACAGAGCTATTTCCCTGCGCGAAATGAGATCGCGCTGTCGTTTCCAGCGCGGCGAGGTCGAGGAGGGTATGAGCGACCTGCACCATGTACTGCAGATGAGGCCCGGCGATACATCGCCGCACATTACAATCGGCGCCATTACCTTCTACACACTTGGCGATTTACAGAACGGCATGGTCCAGACAAGAAAGTGCTTGCACTCTGATCCCGACTCCAAGTCATGCAGGAAACTTTTAAAGCAACAAAAAGCTATTGAGAAAACTTTGGCTAGGGTCAACAAGGCGTTCGACAAGAACCAGCCCATGACTGGTGTCAAGCTCCTGATCGATTCCGCTGACGAGACTGGCTTGATCACTGATATTAAGAAACAATTTGAGGACCTCAAGGCTGACGGTGCCATCCCTTCTGCTGCCCAGTCATCTCTGTACATTCAGGTTGCGGAAATGGCGTGCCAGGGCTACTACGAGGTAAGTCAACTAGATTGCAAAATTTACTTTGATCACTACATGCTTATGCAATCGTCATAGATGAACGGCAAGAAGGCCAAGCAGTACTGCGAAGAAGCTCTTACTCTCAATCCCCAGTCATTCTACGGTCTCCTACATCGCGCCAAGATCATGATGGAGAAGGAAGAGTTCGATGCAGCCATCAAATCACTCGAGGAGGCCAGCAGCATCCGACCTGACAAGAACGATGTCGTTCAGCCCTTGATGCAGAAGGCTCAGATCGCGGCTAAGAGGAGCAAGACAAAGGACTACTACAAGGTACTCGGCGTGGCACATGATGCCGACGAACGACAGATCAAGCAAGCCTACCGCAAGCTCTCCAAGATCCACCACCCCGACAAGGCCGCCAAGCAGGGACTGACCAAGGAGGCGGCCGAGAAGAAAATGGCGGCCATCAATGAAGCGTACGAGGTGCTCAGCAACCCGGAGCTCCGCGAGAGGTTCGACCGAGGCGACGACCCGAACAACCAGGAACAAGGCAGTCCCTTCCAAGGCAACCCATTCGGTGGCGGCCAACCGTTCATGTTCCAACAGGGTGGCGGCGGGAGCCAGCAGTTCCACTTCAAGTTTGGGGGAGGTGGCGGCGGCTTCCCATTCTGAAGGAGGTCGACGCCCGCCGATTGTTATTTGTTGGAATGTATCACGGCACGGATTGAGGAGTTTCATAGGTCAAAACCTGGAGTTTACGGTGGCCCCGTCCAATAGCTAACATCATCTTTATCGTTATTCATAGTTTGGGCATAAGGTCCAACACCAAGTCTGAGGCTTGGAGAGGATCGTCGATCAGACGCTCTGTCGCACGTGGTCGGTCGGCTTAGTCTTGTTGTTTGTTCGGTGTACAAGGATTGCATACATGTGTCAACACCAAAGTATGGCTAGAGCAGACGTGAGACAAGCCAGCAAACATGTTGAGTGACGAATGATCGGCTGTTGACTCAAGTACACTTTGTTGCCGGCAAGATACAGTAAAAGACAGATAGAGCTGCACCTATGTGATGCCTCGAGTTGTGCCAGACTGCTGTTCTGCTGCTGGCTTATGACGACAACAATTACACAGACATGTCACATAGGGTTGTGAAAGTTGGAGTAGAGTAAGAGAGACGGGATTCCGGATTAGCATATCGGTAAATCCGTCCGTAGGCATGCCAACTCCAGACAGATCTGTCATTTTCCGACGCCAACATGTTGAATATCCTTTCAAATTGAACACTTTGCCAAACCACCGGTTCTCCAACACCAAGTACAGCCGGCTTGCGAGACTTATAGTGTCAGCCCTCACGTTGCAACCCAGAGGGGTTTGTGTGGAAGCCCTCGCTGGATGGATTTTTGCCGTGCCTCTTCTGAGCTTCTTTACTGGAAAGCCACTTCCCTAGTGGTCAACTACCCCGCTCGACTCAGCCTTCTAAAATTTTACACGACCATTCTAATCGGTGATCAAATCGTCAGGGAAGTCCCTTTCTATGTGCACAGCGGCGAGCCATTTCAAGGACTCGGGTTGTCATTTCGCGCGATGAAGTAGGCTCTGCAAAGTCAAATTGTCAGTGTCGTCCCAAGCAAAATAAGTGGCCATAACTTACTTGCAAGCCTCGTAGGCGGACCAGCATATGGCAGTGCTGGGCATGGTGGTAACAACACGAGGGCGCACACCCTTGAAGAACCCACGGAAACCCTCACGCTCGTACAGTAACCGGCAGCCGGCTATGAACCCATTCACGTTTCTCAGTGCCGGGTCATTAGCCGTTCCTCGAGTCTGAAGCATGGTCTTGATAACGTCCATAGGTGTAGTCAAGGCGGCGGCAAACCCGCCAGCAACACCGCCAGCCAAACAATGTGTTGTGGGATCATAATCCTTGCTCGGATTCATGGTCGTGGATATAGACTCGTATGCGAGGAACTGAAGAGCGGTGAAGGGCACCGTCATCGAGAGAGTGGTCGGGTAAGAAACGTAGAAAGCCGCCAGCCCTTCCGTCTTATAGACGTATTTGGCACAATCGGTCATGGAACGGTACATCTTGGCCGAGCCTTGAATCTGCATGCGCTGCTTGATGACTGAAATCGATTCGTAGTCAGCACCCAATGAACCGAAACTCTGTGAAGAATGCTGGAATCACGCACCATCGAAGGGGTTCATCAGCGCATCGCTAGCAATCGTAGCGCAAGCACCGCTGGTCGCGGCAGCCAAGGGATGGTGAACACCGGCCTGGTTGCCACCCATAACATGCTTGACAGCCTCGTAGGTAGCAAAGTAAACAGCATGAGCAGGACCTAGTGTTGTCAGCAATGCAAAATATTGCCAGTGCATGTATCATGCTTGCTCGCCCATAGGAATAACGTACCAGCGCCGGCAACAACACTGGACATACCCCTCCACAAGCTTAGAAAGCCCTCGCGGCTGGCTATGCGGTAGGTGCCTTGAATGACGCCGTTGTACACGGCTGAGGGGTTGGGATTGAGGACCTGCATTCGGGTCTGAAAGCTGCGGGTTAGCAAGTGCCGATGCGCGAGCAGGTCGAATATGGGAATTATGGAAGGAGAGCTCGTATGGTACCTTGATGGCGTCAATGGGATACATGACAGTATGCTCCTGCGAAGGCGGTGATCAGTTTTCAAGTTCCCGGCAATATCGGTTAGAAAAATCGTTGTTACAAGCTAGAGCTTGAAGCGAACAGGGATGGCATACCGCTATGCCGGCGAACGCCCCGGCAGCCATGTTCTGCACGAGGGAGAAGTTGGGAGGTAGCGATTCATAGCTGCAACGCAAACGTCAGCAGGCCTGTTCTATCAAGAGAGCGAGCGAATTTGGAATCATGGTCGGAATGGCATTGGGGCATGTGAATGTATTGGGGTGCAATGAATATCGGGAGGGTATTGCGCACTCATATTCCTCGACGGGCTCTGCATTGGGCTGGGCCATTGCGGCCGCAGCAGATGCTTCGCCGTAGGGCTTGGGCTGAAGAGCCGCCAGATTGACAGCTGGGAAATGGTCGAGGGGGTCGGCGATGGCGCCCGCGGATCTGGCGGGAAAAGCTCTCGCTGAGCTGGACGCGAAGAGATCGCGTCGCTCGTTTGCCTCGGTGGCCTTTTTCCCCCCTTCCCTCTCACCTTGCTCCTCTCTAGATCTGCGCCGAGGTTGCCGAGGAACCTGCGAAGATGAAGAGGCCAGAAGAGACAGAGGTCGATCGGTCGCTAGGAGACTGGCGAGAATGGCAGCAGTCGAGTCTATGTTAATAAAGGCGACGTTGGGCTCACAAGGCCGTGTGCTAAGAGTTGGTTTGCGTGTAGATGCAAAAGATTGGAGATCGAAGGAGCGTCGCAGTTTGTAGAGAGGTAGGGTAGGCCAGATCAAATGAAAAAAGTCTAGTTGGAGCTAGCAGAGTCAGGTAACGCACAGGCAGTGGAGGAGGTCCAGTGTGGGTGTGCGGCCAGTGTACCTCCTCCACCCGCAGCTGTATGGATACAACGGTAGTCTCGACCAGGTATCGATACTTCAAGATGTCGTGATTGCGAAATGTCGGAAGAAGCAACTGGGACTGCGGGATACTTTTGCAGCAGATACAAGAATACATAACAGAGAAGCTGACCAAATATTTTGCATCTCGAAGGCCCAAAATTCCGGGCATAATAGCAGCCCAACGAACGACAGGGTTTCCTGCAACCCCCGGAGACCGAAAGACCAGACCATGCTTCACTGGCATATATATATATATATATATATATATGGTTTCGATCAATCCACGGACTTTGATGTTTGTTCTTGGAAGAGATTTTGGCGTCTTTCCAAAAGCAAAGGCACTCCTACCACACTTTTCATGTACTATCTCTCAATAACTCATCAAGTAATAATCACGGTTCTCCTTCTTGTGACATCGTTATGGTGTGTCTTCTCCTCTGCAATTGATGACGCCGACTTTACCTGTTGAAACCCTGAGCTCCTGTTTCCCCATAAACACCCTTCAGCAAGTGCCTGGAGAGAGAGCAACCTCGAAGCATCAAACGAGCTGTCGTTCGAACCAGCGACTCTTGAAGGCCCCACTGCGAATCTCCCAAAAATATATCGAGACTTGGCTTTGACCTCTCACCCTTCAGCGAGTCTAGTCTACCTAACCTACACAATGGTTCGCGTCTAAATGATGGTTTTGCTGCACCGCCTCCTGTTCCTCGCTTTTAAATTTATATAAAGAAACAAAACCGGTAAGAAACGCCCTTGGTTAGCTTGTATATTCTGCCAACCTCGCATTTAGGACTCGCTATCTCTGTCAAGGTAGGTCTCGCTTGCTGCGATGCCTCTTTCCACCACCCTCGCCACAACTCGATGATCATGTATTATTAACAGCACTACTACTACAGTAGATGGGAATAAAGACAAAGTGGGGTGTAGGGAAAAGAAGAGAGAGAGAAAGAGAGAGAGAACAAGATGAAAAGTACGGACGCACTCGAAATCGTCAATCTCGGTTATCAAACGCCCGTAGACCTTCTCCTGCAATTTTATCTCATCTTATCAATCAATCAACACTCCGCTTATCGGAGTTCCATCAGGAGCTGCACGTCTACACACCTACAGCAAAAAATACCTTCGCATCAGGCACTTACCACCTGCCACGTCGACTGCGATATCCCCTGCACATTACTTTGGCTCGTTTCTCCGTCAAGACATCTTTCACCCACGCTATACTCGTACCTGCAAATCGCCACGTCCGGAGACGCGCAACTTTAAACGTCGGCGGCTACCCCTCAGAGATAAGTACAGCCACGTCAAAACATCCGTACTCCTCGGAGATACGACATTGCTCTCGTCGGACCGGCCCAAGTTCCGCTCCCGACCGTCGGTGATAACTCAATCTTGATTTTCTGCAACGCTTTCCCAAATTGAGGTCTATTGCAGCACTCCATCTCAGACCACCTTGCGCTTTCGTCCATCAAACCCAGCTTCAACCCGGCCACAAAAAGACCGTCCATAGTATCCATATCCCAGAATGTCAAGTCGCATGACGCCCTAATACCCATAACTCCTTACCAGCATATTCGAAGTACCGGCCAATTGCCTGTATGCCCTCTTTTCTTCACAGTGCCCCGCCACTCTGTGGATTATTACGGTGGGCCTGCTGGAATTGGTATATCAGACCCAACACCCCTGCGTCTTGCTCGCCCGTCTCTGCCATGCTGCTCTCACGGCTCAGCCCTTTTGGAGGTGATGTCTCCCATACAGATTCTCCCAAAGGCCCCGAGCCATCAAATGTTTCGTCTTCGTGTGCACTCTGCGACTGCAGGCGGCTATCTACGCCTAAGCCGTCTTCGGTCAACTCCTCGATGATACCTTCGCCCTGATAACCACCCCGCGCCGCTCGGCTCCGATGCATACTTCGGATGCCGAACACTGTTGCGGCAGGTTGGTGATGTGGATCAAGAAGCATTGATGCCATCGGTGACGGGGCCGTCATCGATGGTCCAAACCTCGGAGTTCGGGTTTGTTGGCCAGACCCTCCTCCCCCAGCTGCTCGGCTCCTCGTAAGGTCTTGTCGACCAATCCTAGAGTTTTGCATGTCGGCCGCCAATGTCGGGGAACTCAGTCCCGGAAATGCCGGCGGGGGGTGAAACGGCTGTCGGCTTCCGGGAGGTAGATGACCTGGTATACCTGTCCTCGGATTGATTACGTAGTTGTCCAAGAAGCCGTAGTAAGACGCTGCCATCTTGTTGTGTTTTGTGGAATAATAGTCTTCCCGGACATCGCCAGCGCCTACTTGTTGCTTTGCCTTGCCCACACCCTTCTTGAAGTCGAACTCGGCGAACGAGCATATATAGCCAACCCCGTCTACATGGATGGTAAATTCTCGGAAAAAGTCGATGATCTGGTCGCTGCACTTGGGGGCTGAATAGATCAACACAAAGGAGGCAGTAAGAATACCGAGTATTTCCTCGATGAGAATCAACAACTTCAGCTTGTAAAGCTCCGAAAACTCCCGCTTGACGTCAGCTGTGTGAAGACGGCCGTTCCAAGTGTCTGGCATGTAACGAGTGTATTCGATGACATTGCGCAGAGCGTAATCCGGGTCGAATACAGTCGTTTCTTCTGATATCATACCTCTGGCAGCTGCCCAGATCGCAGCAAACAAGCCGATGTAAAACAGTGCGGACCTGTCCTTGGTGATCTCGAAACCAAGGAAAAGCTGAGGATCGAGAAATGATGCGACGGCAAGGACCGAAGTGATGGCCCCCGCAACAAAAGTCACCGTTCTAGCGAACTGCTCCGTCATTTTCTTTGGGAACTGGTCAATATAACGGCTAGCAAACGGATATGACATATTGATTCGTTCATGGAAGAGGTGCGGAACCTCGTTAAACTCTCGGAATTTCCACTCGGCAAGAGGCGTATATCGTCTGTGACTAAAGGTTGATGGGTCTTTTTGATACTCCTACAGCCAAATCTGTCAGTGTCCATAACCAACAGCATGCAACACTACGAGAGTGAGCTTACATTGTAGTACGTGAAGGCATGGACAACAATAAGATATGCGACCACAAAGGGACCGATCAGTAAGTTAATGATGCCGGCGAACACAAGTCGCGATTTTAGCTTTGCGCTTAGCAAGCCTCGGCGGTCTGCTTTGAGAAACTCCTGGTGTACCTGGTTGTTCCCATCAAAAACATAAGTCAGAATGGCAAAATGCAGGTTCCATTCGAGACTTCTTGAGAAGAACTGATGCTTCCTCGCAAAGGGTATCGGGAGCGTAAGGTCGAGTATGTCTTTGTTCATCATGGCTATCAGGTAGTTTTCCCTCCGCATGAGACGGTTGGCGATGTCTGCGGCGTCCAACCTCTCCTTGGACTGATTACGCATCCATTGTCGTACCAATGGGTTGACATTGATGGCTGTCTTGGGATTGGCGTCCCGCAGGGCCATGACCCGGGCGACTATGTCTTGCCAGGAAACAGTTTGCATGTCTTCCTCTGGTATCTCAAGGAGGTGGATATAGAAGTTGCGCATATTGCTGAGACGCCGCAGGTCCATTGTGAACTGGACTGCCTTCCATATGAAGTAAAAGACATACAGCCAAAGACCAATGTTCCACATGAACGACATATTTCTGGTACACTGAGGAATCGTGACCTCCTTCAGCGAACTACTGTTAGGGATCTTGGTGTATTCAACGCACTGAGTCAGGAAGGTTAGGAACACGGCGAAAAAGGCGGATTCTCTGGCTTCATGTCAGCGTCATCCCACTGGGCCAATTGCGTCTTGCCAAAGGATAACTTACATCAGGTGTAACGCCCGAGCACACACAATGCACCAAAATCCGCTCCCTCGGTAGTAGTAGTAGACGTCTTGGACGAAGAAGTCAAGGTTGGAGACATTTACCCATCTCCAAAGTGCCTTTTCTTTCTCGCTTCCAGATGCAAGGCCCCTAGCAAAACGCTTTGGTTGGGATCTGATCGGTTTGGAGCTATCTGTAGGGTGAAGCCTCTGTTGCGCTTTTGTTGTCTCCCACTGGGCATGAGTGCGTCTGTTGGAGGGGCCAGGAATAGCATTCTGCCTTCCTGGAAAAGCTGGCTTTCTCCGTGTAGTTATCTTTGCCTCCATATCGACCTCGTGGGGCTCGACTAGCAGTGATGCAGGAACATCGTTGTCGCCATCATCTTCCTGGCCGAGCCACTTGGAGTTAGGCTCTCGTCTGTTTCCTTCGCGCCGTGGACCACGGCCAGTTGTGCCGGAAGGGCTGGTGAGGATGTTGGCATTGCTCTCCAGGGTCGCTCGACTGTCTTCAATAGCAAGGCCTTGTATGTGGTCCAGATCATAGTCTTGGAACCGCTCTCTCAGATTCTCTTCGTCAACATCCAGGCCAGCTTGTCCCTCGATGTCCATGTCTCTATCGTGCCCGGCCCTCAGCTCTTCGTAGAACGATTTAGAGGCTCGAGATGGCGGGGCGAGCCGAGAGAAGATGTTGGAAGCCATGGTAAGGCGAGTTGATAGGGTTCTGTCGGGGCAGGTCGTCAAAAATGAGCTTTCATCGCTCACGGCGTTCGGCGCATGTTCGGAGGAAGATAGAATGCGGCTTGCGCACGGCGAGGGATCCGATTTTGAGGGAGTAGCCGACTAGATTTGCATGCCTGGCGCACGAGACTAATATTAGCCTGAAAAAGAATCTGGTCCAAAGTAAAGGTGGTCGAGGCTGAGAGGATTGCCATCACTTGATGTGTGGACTGATGGTCAGGTGGCCCGGCCCGACGGTTGCAGGTGACAGGAGCTTTGGAAAGTGTTGGAGATGAGTAACTTACAAGCTCACGCGTAACCACTCGTGCTCGACTGGACTTTGAGGTCAGAACCGCTCTTTGCAGAATGAAATGGTGAGCGGATGATAGCAATCTCGATGTCTATGTGCAAGTTTAGGGAAGTTGGAAGCAGTACGATAAACGTTCGCTCTCCAGTAAAAGGTGCTAAACGTTTGGAGGCGTTAATACGTACCGGGTAGAAGTGTCGGTAGGGATCCGATCGCAGTTCCAACTGTTATCTCTCTACAGCAAATAGCATTCAGTGCGCTACCTGCCTGTGTACCTAGATGCGGTAGGTATGACGTGGACAACGAGTCGGCAGGCGGTGAGCTTTGTTTTTGCCAGGCTGCTCCCCGTCGGGAAATCTCCTATCTTATCTGGGTTTGAATAAGGTAACAAAAAGCAGCTAGGTACCATCAGGTGTGCGAGTACGTACCTTCGGTACAAGCTTATTGAAGCAAGGGCTGATACCTACTTTCTTTCGAGGGAGGTCTCGATGTTTCCTTATAGTCGCTAAACTCTCTGCACGCAGCATACTGTACCTCTCATAGCTGAACTGAAGCTCTCACTGTCTCTTATTCTGTCGGTATTCATCGGAAAGGGTTGGTGAGTCCGGTTGGCTCCCTGGTTCCTTCTCATCATGGTCTCGGCTCTGCCTCCCTCCACACTAAGGCCTTTGCCCAGTAGAGATGTGTCCAGTTCCAGCATCAGTACACCACTGTCTCCCTCCACCCCAGCCTCAGCGAGGACCCCGAATCCGTTGACCTCCAAAGTCACAACAGTTCTGTCAACTTCGTATGCAGATTCTGAGTTTAAAGACGCATTGCAACTGCTCGACATTCGCGGCCTCAAAAATACGGCTGAAACACGCCGCCAGCTACGACTAGACCTACAGAAGGAGGTTATTGACAGCAATGGAGAAATTGTATCTCAGTTTGGCCGGGTGGCTGATGTAAGTACTGCTTCCGTGGTTTGAGACGGCCCTGGTCCGATGACTGACTTTCTTCTTCAGCAATTGCGTCGCATAGGGGCTACCCTGGACAAGTTGAATAATAACTATCAAGATGTAAGAAACCGCATCACTGCGGCACATGAAGACACGGGCCCGATTCTGGAAGAGGCTTCAAACTTAATGAAGGAGCGGTCCGAGGTTGAATCAAAACAACACCTACTCAAGACACTGCGCAGTCACTTCATTCTATCGGACAACGAAATTGCCTCGCTGACTTCTACCGCCGAGCCTGTCGACGACAGCTTCTTTGCTGCTCTGCAAAAAGCGAAACGAGTGAGCAAGGATTGCGAGATCTTACTCGGATTTGAAAATCAAGCTCTGGGACTGGAGATTATGGAGCAAACGTCCAAAAACCTCAACCTTGCTTTCCAAAAGCTATACAAATGGGTACAACGCGAGTTCAAGACGTTGAACCTCGAAAACCCTCAGATGAACTCGTCCATCCGCCGTGCCATCAGAGTCCTAGCCGAGCGACCCTCCCTTTTCCAAAATTGCCTCGACTTCTTCGCTGAAGCAAGAGAACGCATTTTGTCCGATGCCTTCCATCTCGCCTTAACTGGCACCACAACCTCGGGCGTAGAAGACCACTCAATTAAACCTATTGAAATGGCCGCCCACGACCCACTTCGGTATGTGGGTGATATGCTTGCTTGGATACACTCGGCGAC